GTCATTTTCCTCTTTGGTCATATTTGCCTTCCCAAGAGTCTGAGCCAAGCAAATTATCTTCAGAACAGCCCCGATGACAAAACCCAACAGCTATGATGTGCCAAGGAATGATTCGAAACCTATAAATTCTCCTTGTGGTACTCTCCTATCTTTTTTGGGGGTGGGGGGGAAGGGAGACAGGCTTGGTTATTATAATTTCACAATATTCAGTTCAATACTGTTGTTATTCTTTTCATATATATTGTTGAAGTCATTGTGTATATTGTTTTCCTTGTTCAGTCTACTTTGTTTTATCCATACCGTTGTCTTTCCATGCTTCTTAGTATTCTTAGTTGATGTTTCTTATTGAACGTTTAGCCATTCCCCAATTGATGCACATATACTTTGTTTCCAGTTATTTGCTACTATAAAAAAGTGATGCTATGAACAGGTTGCTGTATGTAGATACTTTTTTTTTATCGCTGACCTACTTCAGGTATACACCAAGCAGGGAGATCACTGGGTCAAATGGTGTAAGCATTTTAGTCACTTTGTGAGCACAATTCCAAATTGTTTTCCAGAATAGTTAATGGAATTAACATCTCCATTAATAGGGCATTAGTATACCTGTACTTTAAAGATTCACTGCTCTGTAAACTCATCAAATAAACAAATGTGGGAGGGAATGATGTGGCTTTTTGGCTGAAAGCTTTTTCTTTATAAAAAAAATCGGTAAAAAAAATCTTTGTAAAAATCTCCTCCCCAAACAGCCATGGCTTGTAACAAAGGATAAGAAAGGGGAAAAAACCAGCTCATCAAAATCAACCAACACATCAACTGAGTGAAGGCACATATCATAAAAGTCAAACTGGATAAATCTAAGTACACATCAAACCTCTAGTCAGAAATTCTGCTAACCACAAAAGGGGCATCAGAAAAAAAAAATGCTGCAAGCATTTAGGAAAAAGTGGTTCAAGTATTAAGAAACCACAGACAGGATCCCAGAAGACTTGACAGCTACTATCATGGATAAGAGGAGATCTGGGAATACTATATTCCAAAAGGCAAAAGAAGTAGACATACAAACAAGAATAACTCACATTGTAAAGCTGAGTATAATCCTATAGGGAAAAGGAGAACCTTTAAGCAGTAGAGGACATTAAGGCACTTTTGATAAAAAGAGTATAAACCACATGGTGGCACTATGAATCTGAGCAGGACTCTGGAGAAAGAGAGTTATGAAAGAGCTAGGGATTTATCATAGTGTCAGGGCATGCCCTCCAGGCAACTCCAACCCTTTGAAGGGAGTCTACACCATAGGGTTCTGATGAGTCAGAAAGACTTGGAGAAAAGTAGAATCCCAACATAAAAGAAGACTTATAATGATTCCTTACATGCTACTGTACAAGTTTTGTATATTTTCTGTATCTGCTTATGAATCCATATGTAACGTACATTCTACCTCTTTCTGAGCTTAAGCTCCCACTAGTTAGGTTCACCCACTGGGGCCAGTAGCTAGCAGCTCCAGTCCCATTTAACTATCTAACATTAATTAGCTTGTACAAAGGGATAGTTACTTCAAAGATATAATAAGGACAAATATTCCCCACTACCACCATTTTAGAGACCCTTATACTCCCTGGTCTATGGAGGGAGGTAGGGGGAGTAAGCTAATAACTTAACTTAGTTCCTCCCTAGTATTGGTTCCACCAAGGTCATAACCAAAAGCAACTTCTCTTTGGATGAGCCTTTGTCTTACCACTAAGCTGGTGTCATAAAGGTCACTCAGTGCTGCAATGGCTCTGGTCTTAAGATACTGAAACACTGGGATGCTAGAGTACGTACTGCATCTTTTGAATTCACAAGGTCAGAGGATCCAATGTCCTTCCCCTCAAAGGGAAAAGAACAATTTCAGAAGATAAAGAATGAGGACTTTTCACCAGGCCCTATGGCCTTGGAGGAGAAAAGGCTCCATGATGTTTCCCCTTACAGTATTGTCTCTCACTAGCTACTGTGAAGAAAGTCGCTGAATGAAGAGGAGAGGTCTTGCTGAAACTGACTCAGGTCCCCAATTCCAGCTATATAGCTATTGGAAAAAAGGCTCCTCCCAACTGTGTGGTTACAGACCACAACCAGTTATAGAATCTCTATGCATGTTCTAGCGTCTCTAAGGCACTTCTTTACAGCCATTATAATGCTCCCGGAAACAGGCCTTCCAACTTCTCCAGATATGGAAGGAAGTTGCATTGGCTAAGCAAGCTGATGGGGTCTACACCTGTAACCAGGCCCCAATTACATGTATTTTCTGTGGGCTGTGTAAAAACTATTATGTATCTGATACACATTTGTCACTTTGAGATATAGGATCTGTTACCCACGTTTGTGGAAACCAGGACACCTCTGTTAGAGATTTCCCAGAGTAAACTCTGGTGTGGAACAGTAAACCAAAAGCAAATTTACCTTTAATGGTCACCCTTGAGATCAAATGTGGCCCATCTGAGCCCTTGTTGACCATTTGCAGTTTGTTTCAAACCTGAAATTTCAATGATTTTTTCATCAATAAATCAACTTACTTTTCAGCTGAGGAAAAAGAAATTAAAGATAGACCAATGTATCTATCCTTCAAGCAATTATTATAAACACCAAGTACCTATGGTACACTTCATTCTTTAGTAGACACAGGATACCAAGACAAAAAAATGAAAGAGGTTCCAACTTCGAAGAGCTTATCTACTACTTGGGATGAAATGAAACATATGTAGATAAATTCAAAATACATAAAAATCAAACACAAAATAATTTGGAGACATGGACGGAGCATTAACAACTAGGAGGAGCCTTCGATGGAGGAGGCATATAAGCAAAGCCTTCAAGGGATTCCAAGAGGTAGAGGGGAGACATGGGAGTTAGTTTGTGCAGAGACACAGAGTTAGGATGTGGGAGGTGGGAGGTGGAATGTGTATGAGCAGCAAACAAATAAACCAGTTTGACTAGAACTGCAGAGTTTATCAGTAGTTTGAAGTCAGTCTAGAAAGAGGCTGGTCAGACTCTCAACAAATAGCTTTCTTCACATAGATTCTTCTCTGTAATCCACTCTGCAAAATAATATATGAGACGATCAAAATTTGAAGCAGGTAGGTTTTTTTTAATTAAATTTTATTTTCATAATGATCCACCTTCTCTTACTCACACCTTCCAATGAGAAAGCAATAAAACAAAACTCCCATTTACACGTAGAGGCAAGCAAAACATTCCTGCATTGGCCATGTCTGATATATATATACATCTGCATGCATACACACACACACACACACACACACACACACATCTCAATCTTTACTCCGAATCCATCACCTCTCTATCAGGATGTGGACAGCATGTTTCATGATGAGTCCTCTAGACTTGTCATTGTGTTGATCAGAGTTCTTAAGTCTTTCAAAATTCTTTCCTCACTTCACTTTGCATTAGCTCATACAAGTCTTCCAAGGTTTCCCTTCTTCCAAGGGCATCACCTCAGTTTCCAATTCTTTGAACCACAAAAAGTGTTGCTATAAACCTTTTTGTACATATTGGTCCTTTTCCTCTTTCTTTGGTCTCTTTGGGATGTATATAGCCCTAGTAATATTATTGCTGGCTGTTAAGAGTATGCACAGTTTAATAGTCCCCATAGTTCCAAACTCCTTTCTAAAAAGTCTGCCACTGATCACATCTCCACCAACAGTGAATTAATGTACTTATTATATATAACACAGAGCACTCTATGCCCCACTGCCTGAAGATCAGGCTTGTAACATTTCACTCCTCCCCCAGCATTCTCTGGTACCCTTAAGGGAGTCTGCATATGTAAGCTCTCTGCAAATGGCTCCAGCCTCCACCAGTGGTGTACCCTAAATTATAGGGGGTTGTACCCTTCACCTCAATTCCATTAACCACTAATAGGCTAATTCACCTTTGCCAGAAATATTCACCCCAGAATCACAGCTATACAAACTTACAACCACAACATACAAGAGGCATAATTCCCAGTCCCCCTTGTACCACTTCACTCTGGGGAAGGTAAGAGAACTAGGTTCATAGCTTAGTTTGGTTCGTATAGGGCACAGTCTCCTTCTGAGTCTAAAACCACTTTGAAGCCCAAGTCCTAGGCACCATGGTTTCTCTGGGCTAGGCTTCCTTACTGTCCCACTTGGAATCCTGCCTTCAATGTCAATCATGGCCCAAACTCCTGGATCTGGTGAGGATCACTGATGCCACCTAGAAACATTTCAGATCACAGCTCCTGCACTGTGAATGATCTTTATCCTCTCAATAGAGCCTCCTCATGAACAATATTTCTCCAGTCATTTGGAGTGTTCTATAATTGCATTCATAGAGTTCCAGGAGTGTCTTAGCAGTTGGAGTCCAAAGTATTTTATACTACTTGTAGTTATTTTAAATGGAATTTCTTTTTCTATCTCTTCCTGATCAGTTTTGTTAGTAATATACAGAAATGCTGATGATTTGTGTGTATTTATTTTATGTCTTGCAACCGTGCTGAAGTTTTTGTTTCAATTAGCTTTTTAGTTGATTTTCTAGGGATCTCTGATAATCTGCAAAACAAAAGTGATAATTTTGTTTCCTCATTGCCTATGCTTATTCTCTCAATTTTGTTCTTGTCTTATTTCCATAGCTAGCATTTCCAGTACTATATTAAATAGCAGTGGTGATAATGGACATCCTTGCTGTACCACTGATCTTGTTAGAAAGATCCCTAGCATTAAATATAATGCTGATTCTCAGTTTTAGATAGACTCTGCTTATCAAAGGAAAAATCCAGACTTATTCCTATGCCGCCTAGTGTTTTTTTTAACAGAAATGGTATTATATCTTGTCAATAGCTTTTAACCAAATTAAAATTAAAATTAAAATCTCTTAATCAAAGAATTTTTTGTTAATGTGATCAGTTATAGTTTTCCTAATAATGAACAAGCTCTGCATTCCTGGCATAAATCCAGTGTGGTCATAGCGTATAATATTTGTGATATATTTATTGCTGCAGTTTCTTTGCTTTTTAAGATTTTTTACATTTTAACATCAACAATCATTAGGGATATTGTTCCATAATTTTCTGTCTGTTTTAACTGTCCCTGGTTTATGTATCAAGACCATATTTGAATCATAGAAGGAATTTAGTAGGAGTTCATCTTTCCTGTTGTTTTTGTGTAGTATTAGAATGAATATTTCTTTAAACACTTGATAGAATTTGTGAAGTGGGCTATTTTTAAAGGGATTGCCCCCAAAAAGCACTTTTTCTTTGAATTAGAAGAGAACATCTTTTAAGCCAAAGTTTTCTCAGTGAAATCTTAGAGCATTAACAAGCAACACTTAGTGCTTGTCAATATATAATTGTATTCTCTGAAGATATTTCTAATTTTCTCAATCAGTATTTCACCTCGATTTTGGTAAACTCGTTTTATCTAAACACAAGCTCTATAGGCGAGTGCCTCTACTTCCGAAGCCTGGGGTATGTCAGCAAAGTCTCTGGTTAGGGGGTGCAGGCAGCAAGAGCCGGGGTCTTCCTCGGGCCGGCCGGGCCGCTCCTCCCCGCCCAGCTGCCCGGGCTGGCTGACTCCTCCCCTCGCCTTTGCTGCTGCCAGCTCCGTCTACCAAGATGGAGGGAGCGCCGCTGTCCGCCCCTCTCCGTCTGCTGCTGCTGCTGCCGCCCTTGCTCCTGGCTCCCGGGCAGTTGTTGGCCGGCGCTGCGGGGCCGCTGCCAGCTGCTTCGTTCACCCAGGTAGCGAGCGGGCGCGGGTGGCCCGGCTGGAAGCCGTGCGCTGGGGCAGGGTTCCGGGCGCGGGCAGCGCGGGGGCATCCCCGGGGCCATCCTCCGGGCACACTGGGCGGTGACAGGCTCTATTGGGGCTACTGAGTGACTAGGAGACCGAGCCCGCGCTGGGGGCGCAGGGGAGCGAGGCAGGAGAGGAGGAGGAGCGGAGTCAGGCCCCCTGCTTGGGGCCGGCGGAGGGAGGAGTGGGTAAGGGCAAGGGCAAGGGGTGAAGAGTTTAGGGAGCTAGGGCAAGTGAGGAAGAGGGAGAGAGAGAACGGGCAAAAAAGGAACTATTTCCGGTTGCTTAACTTTTACACAGTTAACCTGTTGCTCCCTGGAACCGCTTCAATTTACACTCCCAATGGGGTTTACTACCTTAGGGTGCAAAATCTTCAGTCACTTTAATATTTCATAATGGCGCCTTCTGGGGGCAGAGCTGGGGCTGTAGTTATTGGAGGATTGAGTGTTTACCAGGTTGGGAAATCTAGAAGTTGCCTTATTGGAGCATTCCTACGCTTTTTAATCACTGGAAGCTTCATTCCTGGCAAGAGAAAGAGATACACATTATCGTTTCAAAGGGTGTTGAGGTGCAGGATTCCACCCATGTTGCATTGCCAGCTAAGGAAAAGGGTGGAAAATGGAGAAAATCCCAAGTTAAGCTTTTCCTAACACCGTTTGCTTACTTCCTTTTAGTATGCCAGAGTTTTAAAAAGTTTAGTTGTGACAGTTTAAGCCCACTGCCCGGTGCCAGATAGGAATTAGGATGGCAGGGATAAGGAAGGAAGATTTTGAAATGGAAAACATCACCCTGATAGACTTTTCAGGGCAGGTCCCAAGAGTTCAAGGTCAGCAGAATCTAAAGAAACAGGTGAGTCTGAAACTGGTGAACATAAATTTAGTAGTTGACACAGTACAGAGTGCCTGCCCTTAATCATTTCGACTTTTAATGTTTGCGGTAAGACATTATTTACCAGTCTAAAGTAGGAAGAAAACAATAGAGACACTCTTTCAGTTCTGCTGGGGGCAATCCAGGAAGTCACCACACAGAGTGACTATCAACATTTGTGTCTACCGAAGTAATTTGAGATAATTTCATTCTCACTGTTGGCTTTCCACAGTGCTTTGAGTTCGTGAGGTTTCATCATTTCTGGTTATTGCCCGATCTCCATACCTCCCAACCCCCCCCATCCCATTTTAGAAAAATTTAGATTGCTTGTTGCCCAGGCAGTGAATCAGACTGCTGGGATCTAAGTAATTTGTTTACTCTAGGATTTGGGATGCCACTATTAGTGAATCTTTTGGAATTGAAAAGGGGAAAAAAAAGCTATTGCATTTTTTAAGAGAACATAGTGTTGTTCACAGATATACTGGATTGTGGGTCTATAAACCCTGATTTTATTTATAGGAGAAGTTATCAGGGGGAGTGTTCTTTTTGTTTAGATGTGGCACTTAAAGGAATGTACCTTTAACCTTAAAATAATTGGGTCACCAGAAGGGAGGCAGTTGAAAGAAATCTGACTTCATTTATGCATGTTCCTCATAATATATGTAATTCTAGTGCCATTTTTCCTTTGGAGAATTCTTCACTCAGTCTGAATTCATTGCATTGAGAAAATAGGACATTGAAAACGAATAGGGAAAAAGAATAGCATTTAAGCGATCCAGTGGTCGGGAGTCGGGAACCTGAGACCTGGAGGCCACAGGAAACCCTCTTAGGTCTTCAAGTATGACCCTTTGACTGAATCCAAACATCACAGAACAAATGTTCTTTCAAATGCTCAGTCAAAGGGCTGCACTTAAGGTCCTAGAGGGCCATATGTGGCCTCAAGGCTGCAGGTTCCCCACCCCCGGTCTAGTCCCATGTTTTCATTTTATAAATGAGGAAAGTGAGTCCCAGCAGAATTAAATAGCTTAGTCAAAGCTATACAGATGTGAAAGAGCAGAATCAGTATTCAATTTCACATCCTCAAACTCCACTTCGAGTGCTTTTCCCACCATACCCATTGCCAAGAGAACCAGGATCCATAGTAAACTGACTCCCTCTGAAGAGACCCTAAATGTTGGCACTAACCAGATTTGTGACCGCTCAGGGCTAAGGCTTTGATGAGACAGATCTGAGCAAGTCATTTAGGAAGAGAAAAAGACTGGAACTGGATAACTAAGAGATGGGAAACAACTCAGAATGAAAACAGGTCCAAAAGAAGAGCTTTGGAGATTACCAAGTAGGTCCCAAGGAGCTTACAATCTAATGGGGGAGACAAGGTGCAAACAAATATATACAAAGTAAACAAACTCCAGTATACTGGAGAAGGAAATGGCAAACCACTCCACTTTGCCAAGAAAACCCCGTGGACAGTGTGGTCCACAGAGTCATGAAGAGTTGGACCCAACTGAACCACTGAGCAACAGCTTTAAATTAAAAGGGTTTGGGAAAGGCTTCTGTAGAAAGTGGGGTTTTAGTTGGGACTTAAACGAAGCCAAGGAGGTCAGTAGTCAGAGTGGAGGAGGAAAGAGCATTCTAGGCATGGGAGAGAGCCAGAGAGGATGCCAGAAGCTGACTTGATTTAGTGTCTTGCTGGTGAAACAACCAGGAGGCCAGTATCACTGGATTGAAGAGTACATGGTGTGGAGTAAGGTGTAAGAAGACTGGAAAGGTAGGAAGGAGCTAGGTTATGAAGGGCTTTGAATGCTGGTCAGGGCCTTTTTGTATTTTATCCGGGAGGTGATAGGGAACCACTGGAGTTCATTGAGTAGGGAGGGAGACATGGTTGGGGAGACTGAAAATAAGTGAGTGTGGATGATAGAGGGAGGGTGAGTTAGAGGAGAAGGCCTGGGGGGATCTCTTGAAAAAGGGGTTTAATCCTTGGTAAAGAGTAAGGTTACTTCATCTTGTAAGAAGGGTGAAGGAGGAGAAATCAGCAATCAGAAGTCTGCTGCCTAAGTAGTAGAAGATGAGGAAGGGAGAAGAGGGAGTTCCTATCGAATGGCCTCAATTTTTTTTTTCTGTGAAATAGGAGGCAAGATTCTCAGCTGAGAGAATTTGGGGAGGGGGAACCATGGGAGCCACTGTGGAGAATTGGAATAGTGAGTTGATAAGGGAGGGCAGGGACTGTTTTTTTACTCTTTTGGTATTTTCAGCACTTAGCACAGTGCCTGGCACATATTTATTGACTAGTTGGTTGAACCCAAGAGACAGAGTGGTATAGTAAAGAGGAAGTCAGGAAATTTGGTTCCAGCCTGCTGTACCACTAACTTGTGCGCCACTTTAATCTCTGTGGGCCTCAATTTCCTTATGTGTAAAATCAGAACGTGGGATAGATGATCAGCTGGGTAAAAAGTTGGGAAGAGTTTTGGATTAGAACCTGGGTTTACGTCTTGGCTCTTCCACTTAACTAGTTACGTGACCTTGGACACTTTGTAAACCTTAAAGTATTATATCAGTGCCAACTATAAATGCTGGCTATCTTTCTGAGCCTCAGTTTCCTCAACTGTAAAATTAGATGGGTTAGAATAGATAACTTAAAAGATCCCTTACATCTCCCAGTTTATGACCATGTATTCTCTAAAAGGTCTCTTCTGGCCCTAAAATGCTGTGGTACTGGAGGTGGGCTTCTAATCCCTGGCTCTTATTCCTGAACTTCCAGTTAACATTGGAAAATCGTTACATGTAAAACTTGATTTTAGCATAAACACAAAGCTAAAAGTTAAAAGCTATGAAAAAACTTTATTTTTTCATGGTTTTATTTTTTGTCTTTGCTTTCTTTTATAGCATGACTACCGTGTACATATATTTTGCATGATTTTACACTTATAATCTATGTCAAATTGCTCACCTCAGGGAGAAGGGTAGAGAGGGAGGGAGAGAATTTAGAACTCGAAATTTTTAAAATGTCAAAAATTGTTTTCCCATGTAATTGGGAAAAAATGATAAAATACTATTTTTTAAAAAAAGAAGATTCAAAGTATAGCTTGCCAGAGTTAGCTATATTGGAGAAAGTTACTAGTCCACAAGGCAGGAGGGGGAAAGAATGACACTTTCTGGATAGTACCTAGATCAGGGGTGGGGAACCTGCGGCCAGCCATGTGTGGCCCTCTAGGTCCTCAAGCCCTTTGACTGAATCCAAACTTCACAGAACCTAGGTCCATTTAATAAGCTTAAGTCTGATAAGTAGGTGGACAGCTGGCCTTGAGTCCTAATGACCTAAGATCAAGTTCCACCATTGTTACATACTAGCTGTGTGTCCCTAGGCAAATCACTTAACCTTTCCCCAATCCAAGCATCTCTCTTAACACTATTAATTGAAGAAAAGTTATTGATCTACATTGCTTATTAGTAGGGGAAATTCTTCACTTTGAACTCCTGATACTGATAAAATCGCAGGTCCCCTGACAAAAAAAAAGTTTAAGAAAGCAACTCAGATTAAAAGGCTGGCATGGAAATAATCATATCCAGATCTGATAGCCAATTGGATGTTAGTTTTCTTCTTGCAGAGGGCATCTCTGGGCTTTAGATTTAGACCGAGGTATGCCAAGGGAAGGACTATCTCAGTCTAAAGAATTTTCAGGACTGCCACAGGAATTGGGTATACTCTAGGGCATAACCTAAATGCAACCTAAACTTGGACTAGCTGTGGAACTGACCCACGCTCATTTTTAGAATTCCTTTCAGGAATCCCTTATTGATCAAGGCAAAAATAAAAAGGGAGAGTTTGGGAGAAATGCTTCTTCTGTTTTGGCCAAAAAACTGACTTTTTGCTTATGTGTAACTATGATAGAGAAAAGAGTCTCTAATCATTTTTCTTACTGCAGTGTTGTCTGCTGTGTAGGAAATTGAGGTCGTTGAGGGGGGGAACCCTCAGGGTTGCAGACAGTTCTCTAAAACTTTAAGTTATAGACAACTTGTAAATCAGTCAGTCAGCGTTTGCCAGCAAGTATTTAATATGTGCTTACTGTGTGCCAGTCAATATACTTACTAAGTACCAGTCAGCCAGTCAGTATACATTTATGAAGTTCCTGCTATGTGCCAAGCAATGGGAATACAAAGAATGGCAAAAGACAAGCCCAGCTCTGAAAGCTCTCACAATCTGAGAGACAATATGCAAACAGCTGTGTCCAAACAAGATAGATACAAGATAAATTGGAGATTATCATCAGAGGGAAGGCATTAGCCTAGTAAGGGGGATCAGGAAAGGCTTCTTTTCCCCAAAGTGGGATTTTAGATGGCACTTAAAGGAGGTCAGGAGGCAAAGAGAAGGAGGGAGAAAATTCTAGGCACGGGGTACAAAGTTGGGAGATGTTCAAGGAACAGCAAGGAGGCCAGTGATACTGGATTACAGAGTATAAGATATAACAAGACTGGGAAGGTCAGTGGGAGCCAGATTATAAAGAGCTTTGAATGCCTAATAAGATTTTATATTTGATCCTGCAAGTAATAGGGAATGACTGGATTTTATTGGGTAGGAGGTTGACATATCAGACCTGTTCTTTAGGAAGAGCACTTTGGCAGCTTATGGCCAGGATGTGAGGAGAGATCTGTGGCAGGGAGACCAACCATCAGGCTTATTATAATAAAAGTCCGAATTCGAGATGGTTGAGGGCCTATATCAGGGTGGTGGCAGTGTCCCAGTAGAGAAGGAGGTATATATGAGAGATGTTACCAAGGTAAAATTGACAGGCCTTTGGCAACAGATTGGATATGGGGATAGGTGATACAGAGATACCCAGAATGCCACCTAGGTTTTGAGTCTTTAGGAAGATGGTGGTATGCTGAACAATAATAGGAAAATTAGGAAGAAGGGAGGGTTGGGGGGTAAAGATAGTAAGTTCAGCTTTGGATGTGTTACATTTAACATGTGTGCAGGATATTAAATTTAAAATGTCCAAAAGGAAATTGGTACAGCAAGATTGGAGATTCAAGCTGAAGAGATCTGTCTGGTAATAATTTGCATAGAAATGACTGCTGAACCCAGGAGAACTGATGAGATCACCAAGTGAAATACCGTAGTTTAGAGAAACTGTCGGGGGCTACCTGATATTAGTGGGCTGGATGAAGGTCTAACAAAGGAGCTGGAGAAGCAGCCAGACAGATTGGAGGAGGACCAGAAAAAAAGGTGGGAATATATATTAAAGAGGATTTAAAAGTGTGTGTGAGGGGTACAATTGCAGTCACCCTATATAGACAGCTTTCTTAAGGAGTTTAGCTGAGAAGGGGAAGATACAGGATGGCAGCTAGTGTGATGGTCAGATTTAGAGAGGTTTTTTAAAGGATAGAGGGTATAGGTGTGTTTGTATAGGCAGCTTTCACATACAGAGTTTATAGATGCTTCCAAATAGAGATCCAGGGTTGCCCACACCTGCAGAGTCTCAGGTCCAGATATTGGGGGTGTTCAGATTTGTCCACTCTCTTTTACCTCCTGCTATAGTAATGTTATTGTTACTTGCAGGACAGTATCAAAATTAATGTGACTACCCTGGAAGATGATGGGGAGTTCCATGAGAAACAGGTTTGTCCTCTTTTCCATATTCTTTGAATATAGTTTGCTGTTTATCTGAATTGAATATACTTGTTTCCTTGTCTTTTAGTCTTTTGATCTCAACTCATACTTAGTTGTACTATTTTTTTAATATAACATTTTTGCCATCATCAATAAACCATTGGAATTCATGCAAACTTTGTGCTTTATTTTAAGGTTTTTCTTAATATTATTTATGAGAATGGGCAGATATATGTAAATGACTTCTCCCTGAAGAGTGGAGTAACCCGAATAAGGGGTGAGACCTTCATAGGTGAGTACCACTAGATTATTTCCACAATACTTCTGTTTTAATAATTCAGAAGAAAGAAATAAAGAACTCCTAGATGCATGTTTTTCAAATGTAAATTATTAGTATGCATTATTATAGGAATAAATAGTATCTATAGTTGTTTACAGCTTTAGTTCTTCATCTTCAGTGCTGGCTATACCTGGCATCGTACACTGTTTCTCTTGAAATACAGGTCTTGCATTTGAGGTTGGACCTTATGGAGCTACATCTAAGGTAGGTCAACATCACTTAAGTGATGTTACTGCTAATGATGAAATAGCAATGTCCTCATATCACTTGAAAAAGCAGAAGGAATTCCTTATTTCTCAAGGCTTTAATATCTTCTATTCTTACCCACAGTACTTTTCTTTTTAGCCACTTTCATTTTCACACAGCTAGTAGAAGTCTAAAATAGGATTTGAACTCAGGTCTCCCCAACCCTGAGTCCAGTCCTCTGTCCATCCCGACACTGTAACACTTAACTGCCAAAGGCAATCATGTGCCTTGTTCTATCATAATACTGCTCTTTTCTAATGTTATTCCCGTCTATCATAATTTCAGAAAGTTTTGGGTTTTTTTTTATGACACTGCTTAGTTAGGAAAACACCTTTAATTTACAGTGGGAGTCAGATTTATTGACTAGAGAGAAGTTGATTGTATTAGAACCTTAAAAATCACCACTTGCTTATATACCAGTTTAAGCAAAATAGTATACCTAGTGAACTCCTTCAGGTATTGACTGTGGGGAAAAGAGTGCTTTCTACAAACTCCTTTGCCATTTCTCTATTAATAGTAATAATAATGTACTTACCTGTGACACTATGAAATTACTTTATATTATTTCATATATATATTATATATATATATATATTTACATATTGGTTACGTGTTACAGGGATTCTTAACCTGGGATCCATGTGTACTTGTTTTAAAAAATACTTTAATGTAGCAGCTAGGTGGCGCAGTGGATAGGCTTAGTGGATAAAAAATACTTTGATGGTTGTGTTTTAAAATAATTGATTTTATTTGTATTTCATTTTATGCATTTAAAAACTTTATTTGGAGAAGGGTAGGCTTCAGCAGACTGCCAAAGCGGGGCCATGACACAAAAAAAGCTTCAGAACCCCTGATGTAGTACACTGTAAGCTGCTTAACGGTTTTTGCCCTATTTTCACAGTGTCTTACACACAGTAGATATTTTACAGTTGTTGTTTTTTTAAACTTGAATCAAATAACTGACCTTTTATAGGATGTTGTACTAGATTTGCAAACCAGAGGACCTGAGTTCAAATACCTACTCTTCCAGTTACTACCTTTCTGACCTTGGGCAAGGATACTTAGCCTCTGGACCTTATTTCAACATCTATAAAATGGGTTGGACCAGATGATTTCTGGTCCCTCTAGCTCTACATTTGCAATATGATTCGATGATGTATAAAGAAAATTCACACATCTATCTTCATTTCCTGAATGTAGGGCGTCCCTGGGAAGACATCCATTTGGCAGCAAACTGAAACAGCAAAAAGCTTTTCTTGAAGTCTGGTTATAATTCTTGTGCAATATCACACTTCCCTTAGGAGTCTGTTGTTTTCTTTATGGAGATTTTCTAAAACTAAAAATTCCAGTCCTTCACTCTCTTCTGGCTCTTTCCCATCCAGCTGCCAAAGTGTTCAGGTTTCCTCAGTTGTCTCTTTACCCTGTCACCTTTCCAAGCCACCATCTTTTCTCCTCTAGCCTTTACTCACTGCTTCTTACCATTCCTTAGTCATCTGCAATCTGGTTTCTTTCCAGACCACACTATATTGGAACTGATCTCTGCAAAGTCATTGGTGGCCTCTTAATTGCCTGGTCCAATTACCTTTTCCTCTTTGATCACTACATTTCACACTGCTGACCACTCTCTTCTTAGTATTCTCTCTCCTTCTTGGCTTCTGTGACACTGTTTTCTTCTGGTTGTTCTAGCTCTCTGACTGCTCCTTCATTGACTTTCCTGCTCCTGTTCCTCTACGCCTCCTCCTACCCCATTTGGATATCTTCCAAAGTAATGTCATAGATTCTTCCCCTCCCTCCCTCCCTCGCTGTTTTCTCCTTTGGCAGTCTCATGCACTCTCATGGCTTCAATAACTGCCTCTATGCATTCTTTACTTCTTTCCATGTACTCTATGATCCGATGGCATTTTGTCCCCTTTACCATTCTTTGCACACTACACACCATCTTCTGCTCCTGAATCTGTGCCTTTTCACTGGCTTTTTTCCATACCTGTAATCTCTTCCCTTCTCATCTCTACCTCTTGGCTTCTTTCAAGACTCAGTTAAAATTCTACTTTTTGCAAGAAAGCTTTCCTCATCTCCCTTAATGCTGGTGCCTTCCCTCTGAGATTACCTTCCATCTACCTTGTATATTCCTTTTATACACATAATTATTTGTATGTTGTCTCCCTCATAAAAATGCAAGCTTCTTGAAGGCAGGGGTTGTTTATGCCTTTCTTTGTATCCTCAGTGCTTACTTAACAAAGATCTTGAAACATAGTAAGCACTTAATAAATGCATATTGATTTGACTTGATGCAGTCAACTCTCAATTCTATTATCTCCTGAGATAAAGTCCTTCATTACTAAGTCCCCATTCAGCATCTCCACCTAGATGTCTCACAGATATCTTAAACTCTACAATCCAAAATGGAGCTCACCTTCCCTCCAAACCCTGCTTCTCTTAATTTCCTTATTTTTTTTAAAGGAAAGTTCCATTTGTTCCTGTACTTTCTAGTGTGTTTATGTTTTTTGGCAGGGCAGTCAAGGATAAGTGACTTGCCTAGGGTCACACAGCTAGTACATTTCTGAGGCTGGATTTAAACTCAGGTCCTCCTAATTCCAGGACTGGTGCTCTATCCACTGTGCCACCTAACTGCCCCAGCCTATTTCTTTTGATAGCACTATCACCCTACCAGTCACCCATGCTTGAAACTTCAGCATAGTCTTTGATACCCTGTTCCTGCTCACTCCCCACATCTGATCAGTTGAGAAGTCTTACCACTTCTACTTCTTCATAATCTCTAGCACCTTTTTCCTATTTTCTGCTCAGTGCTGTGAACCAGTTTAGGTCCTCTTTATCTCTCAGTTGTTCTGTTGTAATAAGCTCCTAATTGATCTCACTGACTCCGGTTTTTTTCTCTCTTCAATACATCTTTTATGTAGCTGCCAAAGTAATTTTTCTAATGTCCAGGTCTGATCGTATAACTTCTCTACTAAAAATCTGTAGTTACTCAGTACTGCCTATAAAATAAAACACATATTCCTTAAGCTGGCATTTAGGGCTCTCTATAATTTGGCTTCAGCTTAGCTTGCCATTGGTGTTTCATACTGCTTTCCTCTGAGTACATTTTATTCCATCCAAACTGGTTTCCCCAGTTTTGTCCTGCCCTTTAAAAACTCATGCTATTCCCTACACCTGAAGCATATGCCCATCTCATTTCTTGGCTACTGAAATAGTGGCTTCACTTTTTTCAAGATCTAATTTAGAGGCCTCCTCCTCCTCACTCTTCACCCTCCAAACAAAAGTAGTCCCTCTGCCTTCAAATTACTTCTTCTCTGTTAAACTTCTCTTAGGGACTTAATCTTATTCTAACACATCATTATAGTTATTTTCATGCATATTCTTTCCATCCTAGGTTATAAGCTCTGTCAGGAAAAAGGCCAGTCCTTTTTCATCATATTTGCAAGGCAGTTAATGTTTATTTGGATTGGGGGGAAAAGGGAATGTTATGGATTTCAGTCTAGCATGGGTATGGCATAAATCTCTGCTTTTTCTCCTCTAGCTGGTTCATTCACCCAACCCATACTCACAATAGCAGTTCTGTGGTTCCCTGAGAGGGATATACCACTATGTCTTACAATTCAGGACTCTCAGGACCCTAGGAGTAACTTTGGTGTATGTTTGTGGCAAGGGGGAAAGAGTCTTACTACTTGTCACTGTAGCTTCTGAGCCTCCACAGGTGTGCTTTCCATTTATATAAAAAAAAAATCACCATGACACCTTTAACTCTTTTAAACTTACTAAAAACAAGACAAAAGCAATAATAATCATAACATTTACTCAGCATAACGCAAGAGCAAAAATATAATATTTACTTAGTAGAATGTAAAACAGGAATAATTATAACATTTACCTAATAAAAGACTAAAATAAGAATCATTATAATATAAGTATACTCATGAACCTTGGTCACAGTTTTCCTCTGATATACAGTATACATGGAGTAGTGGAAACATACCTATAGAAATCTAGTAGGGAGGTACATGAAAGGGGCAACCCACATTCTCTTGGGAAACTCACAACCTTGACATCTTTAGTCTCTTTAGGAACATTACACAAAGATACTTCTCTGCTAGCTGCTCCCCTTCTGGCCCTCTCCTGCTAGGCAAAACTGCTCTTCTCTTCCAATAAGCCAATAAAGTAGTGACAAGCTCTTTTAGCTCATAGCTACCCTTGATAAGACATTGAGGAAAGGCTGCACTGTTTTAGCAGACTATATATATCAACATTGTACTTGTTTGGTGCCAAGCAGTTCCCTTAAATCAGAGTCCTGCAGAACTCCTCAGACTTTCAAATAATAGGGGATTCTCCTTTGCTCAACCCAAAGCCAATATTTTTCTCACAGCATAGCTCATAGTTCACAGTAAAACAGAGGCAAAACTTAACGGCACCAGCAAGAGGTTCCCATATAGATGGAACCAGAGAATAGTGAAGCCTGATAGCCCTCCATGTTCCACTGAGCCTCTGGGGGCTGCTCCAGCCTTGAAGGCAGCTGGAAGCCTTTCATGTCTTCTCTCTGCCTCTTCCTAAGGCTTCTTCATTGTCTCAAATCAGAGTTTCCTAATGGTTGGTTGACTTGTTTTTGCTCTATAAGATAAATTCCCCTCTCTGTCAAAAGTCTTTATATAATCTTCCCAGTGTCCCTAGTTACTTGACTTGCAGTTTCTTAGTTATAAACTTCAAAACCCTAAAAGTTAGTCACATGCAGATGCTCTGGTAGACCACAACACCCTACCACCGTTGTTATCTCAATCATCGTTATTTCTGCCTTCCAACAAGTCCTCTCAGTTCATTTATCTGAAAGACTCTGTCGGTTCACCATTTTATCTGGCAGAGTTTCTTCACACCAACTGATTCTATCAGTTTTCTATACACAAATGGTTTGTTTGTTGTTAGCTTTTTTTCTGTCCATTCTGCTGTCAGACTTTGCATGTGAAAGGGGTAGTACCTAACATGAAAGTCTTACATTCACTTATAAATCTAGAGTTGAGAGGGACCTTATAAAACAGCCCTTTCTTTTAGAGATCAGGAATCTTCAACCCAGAAAGGAGAATGACTTAGCTCAAGTCACACATTATAGAACAGAGCCACGATTCTAAACTAGACCCTCTGACTCAAAATCCAGGGCAACTATGTATCACACACCATACTTTTAAAAAATTAATAATAATAGCTAGCATTTATATAGCACTTTAATATTTGCAAAGCACTTTACAAATATTATTTCATGTATTCTCATGACAGCCCTGGGAGGCAGATATTATTTTCCTCATATTGCAGAAGAGGAAATTGAGGCAAAGAGAGATTGTGATTTGTCCAGGGTCACATAGCTAATGAGTGAGTGTCTAAGATTTGATCTTATGTCTTCTTTCTTGCAAGTAGTGTTCTGTCCTAGTATAGAACCAGCTAGCTGCCTATTTTATACTATGTTAGGAATGTCAAAGATAAGGAACCATTTAAATAAATGAAAGATTCTGTGAATAAAGTATTCAGGAATCATGATCACGCTCTCAGTTGTACTGGGTAGCTTTCCAATTTTTAGCCAGGCCACAGGCTGCCTTTTAATGATAGCTAATAAATTAAAAATCTATTAGTTCTGCAAATAACCATTTACCACCCACCCTGTGTAAAGCAATGGTGCTATGGAGGATACAAAGGTGAATTAGACATAATTCATGACTTTAGAGAGCTCACAGTAGAGGAAATAAGATGTCCACAAAATTATAAGACAGGCTGTGATTATGTCATAAGAGAGGTAACATTAAGTGTTGGGAATATTTAGAGAAGGATCAGGACCCTGGATTAGAAGTGCTTCATGGTCAGTCAGTCAGCTAGCATTGAGTAAGGTACTATGAGCTAGGTAGTATGCTAAGTGCTGGGGATACAAATAAAGACACCCTCAAAATAAACCACAACAACCCAGTTCCTGCTCTCAAAGGGGCTCACAGATGTCTGAGGTTGAGGAGACTGGGTATGAGGGGCATGCCTTTATGGGACATGTCCATAGGGTCCTCTATCCTCAATGATCACCACCAGGTCATTTGTTGTCTCTGAGAACAGGAAAGGTGCCCATTTCACCACATCAGGCTTTACTCTGATACCTCCCCATTTGTGGGTGCCTTCTCTACCCGGGTCTCTGCAGGGTTTTTTTTTTCACCAAAGTGCCTGAGGCAATATGAGCACTGGGAAAAAAGGTGCTAGAGGGTATGTACAAGGAAGTGATTGAAGATTAGGTTTGGAACTAACTTGGGGAGGAACAGCACACCAGGCTGAGGAGCTGGGGGGTTTATTTCATAGCCAATGGGGAGCCACTGATGGCCTTTGAACAGTGGAGTGACTTGATCAGAGAGCCGTGCTTTAGGAAAATTAGTCTGGCACATTACAGGAGTTAGATGGGTGGGACAAGTGCATAGAGCACTTAAAAGGATATTGCAGTAATAAAGTAGGATTGTGGCAGTGGAGTGGAATGGGGGAATAGATAAATGGACGGGATTTATGTGAAGGATGAGAAAAGGGAGAAATCAAAGATTACACCTGGAGTCAGCAAGACTCTTGTGTGGGTAAATGGTCATTCCATGAAGAGAAACAGGAAAGTCAGGAGGATGAACTTTTTTTTTTCCCTTGGGCAGAGGGAAGGGCTGGTAAAGATAAGGAGCTTGGTTTTAGATGTGTTTGTGTGGATACTGCTGGTAGGACACTCAGGTACAGATGTCCAAGCAGCAGCTGGAAATGTGTGGCAAGATGTATTCAAGAGAGAGGTTGGGGCTGGAGGTACAGATTTGGCTTTTGTTTGCAGAGATGTGTTACTGAAGCCGTAGAGGTAGATGAGATTGCAATGGGAGAAACCAGTTATTCCAGTAATGCTTATAATAATCCATCGTGGTATTTACTGAAATCACATGCTTATGTCCAATCCTAGGTGATTAAAGAGTTTGACAGAAGGTTCTAGAACTGGATCAGGTTGGGCCACATCATATCTCTGTTACGTTAAAAAATATACATTTTTTATTCCTGTTTGGTAAATAATCCTTTAACTGACATCAGTTACATGAAGGCAACACTCACTTAAAGGCAACATACTATAATGAATAGAGTACTGGTCTTGCAATTTAAAAGATAGGGGTTCAAATCCTGCCTCAAACACTTAAAAGCTAGGTGATCCTGGGGGACCTTTTTGAGCCAGTCTCCATTTGGAAGGAAAAATGAGAAAAGTAATAGCATCTGTGTCAGAGGCTTATTTTGTTTTATTTTATTTATTTTTGGCTAGGCAGTGGGGTTAAGTAACTTGCCCAGGGTCACACAGTTAGTAAATGTTATGTGTCTGAGGCCGGAATTGAACTCAGGTCCTCCTGAATCCAGGGCCGGTGCTCTATCCACTGTGCCAACTAGCTGCCCTGCAGAGGCTTATTTTAAAGATCAAGTTAAATATCATGTGTAAAGTGCTTTGCAAACCTTAAAAGTGCTATAAAAATGTCATAATTAACATCATGATCATCATGATTTAAGGGACAGAAACTAAGTGGTAGGATTTATTTTGCAGCAGTTCCTTTAGTGTGCATTGCTTTGTGGCATCTTGCAGGATGCTCCAGCTGCTGATTATTTTCTGCCATTAGATGTTCTAACATCTAACAGCTTTCCCTGGTTGACTTCCAAGCCATTTGCTGTTGCTTTTTCCCACCTTCGCAGTTGGTGGGCATTATTGTTAGGGAAGAGCTGGTGGCTAGCAACTCCCCATCACTGCCATGGGTGATTAAAAGACTTTACTGTACTGGGGCTCCCTTGTGAAGCTGGGGTGCATGTACCTTGTTTAGAGGCAACTAATATTCAGGGTTCCTTCTTGGCTGCTCTACAGACATACCTTACCAAGATTGACTCTGATAACACCTTACTAATGATCATGAGAATCTAGAGATGTTCCTAGAGTGGCATCATTTCGTAGAAACTCTGGACTACTCAGCATTTATTTGTTTCAAAAGCATATAAGTAGGTATAAGATTTGATAACAATTTTATCTATGCTATTCTTGTAGATTTGCATCAACAGTGAGGATGGGGATGAAAAGGTAAAGCCATTAGAGGGACTGCAATATTGGCTGTTTTGTTCTATGTAAATATCATTAAACTAATTAATTAAAGTAAGAGAAATTATTTTATGATTATTTCTGTTTAACAGCATTATTCCTTTTTGATAGTGGAAGATGAACATTCAGAAAACTTGAAGGTCAAGGGATATTTTGGAACTGTCAGTGTACGGATATTAGTTCATCAGTGGCCTCTGGCATCTAGTTCCAATGTGCAAATGATTGCCATCCAAGAAGAGGTAGTAGAGATTGATGGGAAGCAAGTAAGAGAGCACACTTACTTATTTCAAACTTAGTAGTTACGTTAAAAATTGTAAGCAATCGTGCCATGAGTTTTGTGGATTTTAAATTGTGTTTTCTTCTATCATGTTTCTGATGATTTGGAAAAAAGTATTTAAGTTTTGACGTTCCCTAGTCATAAAGGAGCCTCCTAAACCCCAAAAGTTTTTGTTTTACATGTTTCTATTGTCATATTTAGTGTAAAAATGATCAATTACATTCCTTTGTGTTAGTTCATTTATGAATATGCTTAGAGGGAGGAAATGAAGCAATTAGACTTGGTTTTCACCTCTGCTACAGGTTGGACATGGCTATGGATTAAATTAAATAGAACTGAAAGTAGAACCTGCAAAAGAGAGTGCCAAAGCAGACAAAAATATATTAAGATTGCAAAATTTTTCCCAATGTGGAAAAAAGTAATTATTCTAGGTTACTGTAGTTGGCAACCTACAGAAAGGGATCAAACAGGAAAATGGAGTTTTAGTTTATGTATGACACAGTGCCATTATTTAAAACAATAAGTAATTGGTTATTTCATTTTTCATAGGCTCAACAAAAGGATGTGACTGAAGTTGGTATTTTAGTTAAGAACCAGAGAATCCACAGACGTTCAAATTATACCATTCCTTTGGAGGAAAGCATACTGTATTCTATTCCTAGAGACAATGATGTTTTATTTACACTTCCTAATCTCTCAAGAAAAGGTAACTACACACACACACACACACACACACACACACACACACACACATACAAACATACATACATATATATGAACTGAGTAAATAATGAGTTAAGAAAAATACCTTCCTTGATGAATACTTGTCTAACACCTGAGTATTAAAATATTTTATGTATACTTCAGTGCTTTAATGAATCAGTTATCTTATTGGTGTGGATACCCTTTCCATTAATCAGTTAATACCTGCATAGATGGTATGAATTGCAACCCATTCATACCTTCTCCTGTCTACATCTTTCCATAAATCCTGATCTCTGAAGAATCCATTCTATATACTGGAGGTGCTACTCTTCTTCTTAGTTTTATTAATATTTTTTTTAAGTTAATAATAGACCCTCCCTTCCTCATAGAAACCCCTTCCCTGTCCACCTTATAACAACAAAGAAAAAGTTAAGCAAAACTAACAGATGAAGCAACCATAAAAGTCAGGATTTGCAACATTTCTAGTCTGTAGGTTCTCCCTGGTCCAAAGAAGAGGAAGGTAGGTTACGTTTGTTTTCTCTGTTTTAAATTCATGGATCTTACTAGAACACTTGGGATTCATTGTCCTGCTCTTGATTCTTTGATAGAGATGCTAGCCCGCCAGCTTTTTCAGGAGTACACGTTCTCAACGATTTGTCATGACAGTTATTCACAAATTCAGCGGTAAATTGACACAGCCTACTTAGACCCACCATGTGCCTTTTCCATTGCCCTTGAGGTCACTTAGGTCACTTGATTCTTCTAAGATCATGATATTCCATAGTGATGTTAAAAGAGAACGGGACTTTCATATCTCTTAGCAGTTTGAGATCATTGGAAGTACAGTGCACTTTCCTAGATGTGATCCAGCCTGAGCTTTGTCCTACATCCTTATAACAAATTTTACTATTTATAATTGCTGATGCAAAATTTTAATCACAATAATGTTATTAAGGAATAAGCTTCTTTCAGAAAGTCATTTGTATTGCTTTGGATTTATATTCAAGGGTTTATAGGAGTCTCTTTTTTCAGACATGGGTAGTACAGGGTACAGGAAAGAGTGCTGACCGGAATAAGAGAACCTGAGTTCAAATCCTCCCTCTGATGCTTATTACCTGTGACCTTGGGCATCATTTAACCTTCCTGGCCTTAGTTTCTTTTTGTAAAATTGGAGGGGGACAGGGAGGAGAGGAAGAGGTTGACTAAATGGCCTCTGAGATCCCTTACAACCCCAGATCTCTGATCTCTTTGCCATTCTATGGTATGGTAGATGTCTTCTGCCATAACTACTTTTAAGTAGAACTCGAGTATCTTTGGTTTAGAGTCCTCTTTTAAAGGGAAAGTTACTTCACTTTTGAAAATCCAGAAACCTTTTTGCTACTTCAGTTAAAATTTATTTTTGAGTTTTCTGTAATGTTTTTAAAGAACAGATAAACCTCACTTTCTATTCAGTGAGAGATGTGGTTAACTTTATGGTTTTCTTTTAAACATGCCACATAAAAAGTCTAGATAATTAGGCTTTCAATGCTGATTTCTGTACATACTATGACTTTTATGACCTTAATCTTATTCACTGACCTTAAAGTTAGTGGTAGAGAGTATAAAGGAAGCTAGAAGCATTCAGTTAACTTCTGTCTTCCTACTTCTGTAGATAGTCCTAGTCCATTGCAAACAACCAGCCAGTACCTTGTCAGGAATGTGGAAACGACTATAAATGAAGACACATTGCCTGGCAAGTTACCAGAAACTCCTCTGAGAGCAGAGCCTCCATCTTCATATAAGGTAAATATCAGTATGTCTTATTGTCTTTAAAGTGTAGGCCACTATGAGAAAAGAGAATTCGCAACACACAAAAAGTAATAGAAAGCTAAAGGGTTGGAGCCCTGCAAACCCCTTAAAATAAAAATGATCTTGTGATTTTTATGTGATAATTTTATCTTTTACTTTTTTTAACTGGAACTGTGATATCAACAATATAACAACGTTGGGGAAGACCAGGCAGCAAGGTGGCACAGCACACAGAGTGCCAGGCCTCGAGTCAGGAAGACTCATCTTGCCGAGTTCAAATCTGGCCTCAGACACTTACTAGCTCTGTGTGACCCTGGGCAAGTCACTTAACTCTGTTTGTCTTGGTTTCCTCATCTGTAAAATGAGCTGGAGAAGAAAATGGCAAACCACTGTAGTACCCCTGTTCAAGAAAACCCCAAATGGGGTCATGAAAAGTCAGATATGACTGAAAAACACCTGAACCATTGGGGGAAGAACTTCCCTTATGGATGAGGTAGGTGATACAGGGAGTAGAGTGCTGGGTCTAGGGTCAGGAAGAGCTGAGTTCAAATCCCTCCTCAGATACCTGCTAATTTAATGCTCCTGGACAAGTCATTTAACCTGTTTATCTCAATTTCCTCATTTGTGAAGTGGGGATAATAGTAGCACATGTGTTCAGGGGAGTTGTGAGGATCAAACAATCAAATCTGTAAAGCCCTTAGCACTGTGCCTGACACACAGCAGGCTTGCGCTTATTAACTACTTATTTCCTTCCTACCTTGGTGGGTGTGGTTGTAATAGAGACCAGCCCCAGTTATCAAAGTACCAGTTTTTCAGCCATTCCCTAATTGATGGGCACTCCCTTAGATTCCAGTTCTTTTTTTTCTGCTTTTAATCCCTCCATTAAGATCAGATTTGTTTTGCTTGTGACTATTCCCTCTTTGGTATGATCCTTCTTAATCCTCCCTCCCAGCCGGTTTCCCTGTTGAGCCTGATATATTTGTATGCCAACTTCTTTGTATGTTGTTCAACCTTACTTTGTCCATCTCAGAAAAGTCAGATTCATCTGATGCCTGTTTCTCCCCTCTTCATGTTCGTATATTCTTGCATACTACAATTATGAGAAATACTAAGTTCTGCTCCCTTCTTCTTCTTTTCCAGTACGTCTCATTTTGCCCTCTTAAATCCTCAGAACAGATTCATTCCACCCCCCCATGACCTTTGTTTTTTCTTATCTAAATCCCTCAGCAACCCCAATAATGAAAAGCATTTAGGTTCTGAAATAAGACTTGTCGCTTCTCCCCCATGAGAATGTTAGCACTATACTCTCGTAGAGTCTCTTCCTATTTCTCACAGAGATTTATCTTTCTAGGTAAATTTCTCTTGTGTTTGTATTCCAAGTTCCTACTCAGGTCTGGTCTGTTTTTATAGCCAGTGCTTGAGAATATCTTATTACATTAAAGGTACTTTTTTTTCTCTTGTAGGATTTTATTCAGCTTTATAGTATTTTTGGTTGTAAGCTTACATTTTTACCTTTTGTAAACAAATAATAATAAATAAACCAAGATCTCCCCTGGTTTATAATAGAAGTTATCCGTTCTTGTGTACTTGTACTTCTTCCTAGATGCTGGTAGTATTTTTTTTTCCTTGGATGTGGGTATTCTGGATTTTGGCTGACATTACCTTTTTGTGGTTATTTTAAAGGAGGGCTTTATCTTTACATTGTCTTCTGGGTTTAATAGGGGCTGTTCACCCCCCAGTCCCACCCCGCTTCATTTCTTCTAGGTATTGATGTGTTCCCTTGAGAACACTTAATCCATTTTTTCCTTTGAGTATCTGTTTGCAATTATTATGGACTTTCTTCTTCCTTTTGGAGAGCCTTAGATTTGCAATAATTAGTGATACTGGTGGGTGTTTTGATTTACTCCTCTTTCTAGCTTTTAGTTCTTGAATTGGGGCTCTGTGCTGGGGCGAGGCTCCCCACCTTGCTGGGTTTTTTTGGTGAGCTCATTAGCCAAGTTTGATCTTGTCCTGGGTCCCTGGGGTTCTTCTGCTGACCTTCATTGCTCTCCCTCTCTCACCCCTAAGACTCTTTACTGCTCTCTTTGGCATCTCATGATAGAGGTTTATAGACCTCAGGGCACCTAGCTTGGGCTGTCTTGGTTGGGGCATTATTTTGGTTACTTTCTACTGCTGTTTCTCACATTTTTTAAGGTCCTGTGGCCATCCAAAGGCCTTGTCAGGAGAGCATCATACTTTTGCTACCTATGGACACAAAGCCTTGAAGACTCTGTGTGTGCCATCTCTGGGTGTGTTGGAAGCTTAGCCTGATATGGCACTGGCTTTGCTGGAAGGTCATGCTTTCCTATCACCTTCAGGATTCTGGCTGACATTTTTTGCAGCTCTTTGATGGAAAAAGTCACTTACTGTACTTTCTCATTGGATTTTTGGATTATTATTTGGTCTTCTGTGAACTTTAGGGTTTTGCTAGAGGTGGTATATGGGAGCTGGGTGGTGTATCTCCTCCTGTTCAGGTGTCCATCTTAGGAGGAAGTCTAAATATGCTGAATTTGAACTCATTGAGGGACGGAAGAGGAGTCAGGAAAGTTATGGTCATCAAGATAGGAGAACCAGGAGAGTGTGATGTCATGATAGAACAAGGAGGTAGGAGTGTCAGGGTGTGGCTAGCAGTACTAAAGGAGGGTAATGACTGAGAAGATGAAAGTATTATTTGGAAATAAGGTCATTAAGAGAGCAGTTTTAGTGATGAGTTCAGAAGCCAAGTTGCAAAGGAATAAGGATTCATTAGATAGTAAGAAAGTGGAGAGGGAAGATGAAATTTTGACTTGAAGTGGTAGGAATCCTATGAGTAAAGTACCCAAGAAAGATCAAGGGAAAGGGTTTTAGTTTTTAAAGAAGAGAGGATATATGAACATGTTTGTAAGCAGTTTGTTGGAAAGACAGGGGAGAGAAAAACTGAAGATGTCCTAGAAGAGTTAGAATCTAGGATTACAAGTGGAGGAACCAGTCTTTACAAAGAGAAGTATTCCTTCTGGGAGATGGGCAGAGGTACAGAATTTCTGAGGTATTACAGGGACGGGGAGTTAAAACAGGGTAGGTGCGGTGAACATGGGGCGTAAAGGTAGATACTTAAGTTTTAGTAGTAGCTCAATATGAGAAAAAATTTTGGTTGGGGGTAAGGATTTCAAAGTATCAGTCAGAGACTAGTTTCATGATGAATTTATACTGGGTAAAATCAACATGTTTTGTGACCTTTTCTGTCAGTGGTCAGCAAGATGAAGAATCTGTCTTGATTTAGTTCTACCATCTTTAATGCTAAGACCCCACACATCTTAACCGTTTTTCTTCTTTTTAGGTAATTTGTCAGTTGATGGAGGAGTTCAGAAAATATATGTGTAAATTCTGGATCAATGTTTTCCCAGTACTTTTTATGTTTATGAATATCATAGTGCTTGGAATCATAGGAGCAGCTATAGTAATAGCCATCTTAAAGGTGCTTTTCCCTAATTATGAATCCAAGTAAGTAATTCTCATTTTTAATAGAAACTAACACTCTAGCCTTCCTTTCTTCCTGCCACTCCACTTTGTCATTTAGGCACGTGGACAGACTCAAATGCTCTCACTCTCCCATTCTCCCAATGGTAGCACCTTCCTAGAAACATGGGTTATACTTCAAGACTATGGCTGATTTACACTGCTGTGTTAATACTGTGACTGTGCATGAAGATCCACTTTTATTAGTCTTTCTTCATAGCTCTCTTGGTGCTTAGATGCTTGTATTTTGTCGTGGTCCAAGAAGGAAGTTAACGTGATAGTCTGTAGTATAATTCGGACATACTTCATTCATTTATGTACTGATATACTATTAACAATAGGTAGTAGTATATGTAGGTACCAGTAGTACTACTAGTATATTACTAGTATACTACATACCCATTAGTAGAGCATATTAAACTGTTATTAGCAAAGAATAAGTATTTAAAATAAAACACTTTATTTCCAATCTCTGTGCCCAGAAGGTAAAAATAACACTTTTTTCTAAGTTAGATAATCTTTCTTCTTAGCCTGTGAGTTGGGGATTCCCACTTCTCTCAGGACCATTCCTCTAGCCTGTGATCTGGAAGCTCTAGTGGTACTCCCACACCCATCTCTCTTCCCCTCCCCCATTTCCTAAGAGTGCATTACTATTACTGTCCCAGCTCCCTTCTTTTGTGGGTCTGTTACTTTAGAATCTGTTATTGTTGGTCCAAATAAATTGAAGAAAAACCTATTTCCTTATCTAGGAAAATTTACTATCCTCTGTGTTACAATAAGACATCCTTTTCAATTTCAGGGGAATTCTTCACTTGGATAAAGTGGGCTACCATAGGTACTACCCGATCGACTTCTTAGAGACTACAGAGAAATCAAAGGATAATCTTGAAGAGAAGATATGTATTTAACACATCCTTATGCCATTTTCCCATTGTGGAATTTGCCATTTGGTTCATAATTTCCAGTCATTTAATGAAAAAGTATAATTCAAATAAGAAATAAAAGTATATTGAAAGACCGTGCCATAAACTAAGCTTGGCCTTCTAAGAGAGATTGAAGAATGAGGATATAACATTTGAAATTACCTGACTGGTAATGTCATATGACTTCCTAAAGAATGGGAGAGTGGTAAAATTAGCCAAATTGAAATAGAAAAAGTGAAGACTTGCAGTACCTATGTTTGCATTACCAAAAAGGACTTTATGCCAATAATTCCAGATGCCTTATTATTAAGAAAATTATATCTAATTTTTTTATTGTAATGTATGAGGTCTTACTTTAAGCACTTTATGAAAAGCTAAACTTAAGAGAAGCCCCTGAATTAAACACTTAAAAAAATTATTTGACTTGTATTTTGTATAATATTTATGATTTTGGTAAAGACCCTCGAGATACATTATAACTTCATTGTACCTGTACTACGGCTACTTAGCAGGATCCAAATGGAATTGTCAGGTGACATTCTTGCTGCAAAAGACATCTCTTCAGGAGGGAAGGAGTTGGGTATATGCACTTACTGGGTTGTGATAGGTCAAAACTTATGCTAGTGACTCATTCCCCACAATATAAATCAGTGATGATATTACTAGATTTTAGTGAGCAAACAATATAAAGTTTTAAAAGACTCTAGTAGTGACCTGCTTGGTTTTACTTAGCTATTTTGACTTCGCTTTTCATTGCAATTAACATATGAATGGACTTAAATATTAAGTATATTTATTAACACTGGTATTTCAGTGGAATACCTAAAAACGGCACAAGTTATTTTGAGCCATAAGAAAGTTTACTTAAGCTTTAAATAAAAAGTGTTTTAAATAAAAAAAAGCAATGTTTTAGTGAAATCTCCAGAAGATGGCAGGGTCTCTGCTTATGTTCAAATATCCAGTTCTAGTTTTATGGGACCTTGGTATGTATTTAAAAGCAAATTTATACATAGAAATTTATTCTGTGTATTTAGAAAGGGAAAATATAAATGAAATCATTTAAAGTTTTATAACTCATTTGATTTGTCAATTCTGTATCATTTATAAAATGCTTTAGATTTAGCTCCCAAAATAAGCTGAACAAGTTCTGAATAAAACTTTGGAAAATAAGCATTCACCTGCCCTTACAGCAACATTCTACTACTCAGGGACATGAAAGTAGAGCCAGGTAAGACTCTTGCAAACTTCTTCAAATGACTAGTGAAATAGGTAAAGTGAGAAAAGCCTTCTTCCAGCCTTGCACAGAATCCTGCAAGCAGGAGGAAGGGCAATGTAGGTCTTTGTTCCAAGTTATTTCCCCTTTGGTTTACCTAAATGAATAAAACAGTTCTTAAAAGTTATATCCATGAGCAAATAAGCCTGAAGTCAGAGCTGGCTCCATTACTACTTAGATTACAAAGTGGCTGCTCAGCTTTCTTCCTCTATTAATAAATGAAACAATGAAAAACGAGGTGTCATCTCTAAGTGTATAGGAAGGTATGTCCTAAAATAAGTGTTAATTATGAAATACTTGTAAGTAAAAAAGATTTAGTGCAAAAGTAACAAATTGAGTCAAATTTCCCTGCAGCTTAAAAAAATTACATTTATTCAGAATCATGAGTTCCTTTTATAATTATCATTATGAAAGTTTAAAAAAATATAACAGTGCAATGAAATACTACTTTTCATTACTATTGAAACAACATAAGGCAGGTTTCTCACAGTTTACTTTAAAAAAGAATTTAGCATGATCCAAATTCAAATATCCATTTTTCATATCTTTCAATGTCCGCAGCAGATACTGACTTAGAAACCTTTTTTAACGCCATTCCAAAGTCCTCCATGGTTGTAGGCATATGCATTTCATCTCTGGAAAGATTTCTGATTTCTTCAGGTGTTAAACCTTCAATGCGCCTCCTCATGGCCATCAGGGATGCATCTCTTCATTTTAAAGAAAAAAATTAAAGGTTAAATCTTTCACATGTCACAAGGGTCTGGTTACACCAAACTGAAAACAACAAACCCCTTGTTGCTACAACAGGATGTTACAATGGTTGTAAGTATGATTTTACTACCTGTGCAATAGTATTGTATGATATACATTTAATGTTTCTTTTACTTGAAATGCTTCTATAACATGCCAAATGACAATTTCTACCTATCTTTAAGGCCTTCCTCTACAAAGCTGTCCCTAATCCTCCCTAAGATGGAAATTCTCTCCTGATTCTTGAAGCATTTTTTTTGGTGTGTATTTTTTAAGCACTTGTGTTCTATTTTGTATTATAATTATTGGTATCTATGTCATTTATACCTTACTAGACTGTAAGCTCCTGGAGGGCAAGGACTCTGTTTTTTAATCTTTGTTTCCCCCTTGGCCTAACATAGAATAGCCACTTAATAAATGTTTGTTGAATAGCTGGAAAATGTTATCAGTTTATTTTAACAGTTATCACACCACTTGTAAACAGCATACCCCAACATGTAACTATTGTACACTATTAAAATAGATAAATGGAAGCTACATACACCAAAATATTTATAGCTACACTTTTTGTAATTAACAGAACTAGAAATAAAGTGGATGCCCACTGATTGGGGAATGGCTAAACAAAATGTGGCACATGGATATAACGAAATATTATTACTGTGCTATAAGAAATGATGAATTACAGAGAAGCAGCAAGACTGATGCACAGTGAAGTAAGGAGAGACAGGAAAACAATTATATTACTACAAGAAAGAACAAAAAAACCAATCAAAACTGAATACTGCAAAATTATACTGAATAAGGTTGGCCCAGCCAAATGAATATACATCCAGTCCCCTGAACTTTCCACTTCTTCGAAGGAGAGGACATGAGTGTGAAACACTATCTATATCTAGTATCAGACACTGATATTTTGGTTAGGTTTGTGGAAGTTTCCCTTTTAAAAAAAAGGAATTCATTATTATAAAAAAATGGCATTTGGAAAGGGAACAAGTAGGAAAGCAGGGAATAACAAAAGATATGAAAATTTTATTTTAAAAAATAAATGAATTCTGAACATGAATTATATGGAAAAGCAAATTTAATAGGAAAAAAAGGCTGGTTGTAGGAAACTTTATTAACCAATAAATGAGGCCAATGAAAAACGACAATAAAAAAAGCCTCCATCCCACTAGGGAGAGAATGTTTGGTTACCTGTATGACAGATTGTATACTAAAAGCTAAATTTCTTTTTTTTTTTTTCTTATATGGCACTAAGTTTTAAAAACAGTTAAATCTTAACACACTCGGGTATACTGGGCAGCATGTTTGACACCTTTGATTTACACTGTTAGAAGTAACATTCCCATCAATGAAATCATAAATCCAAGTGAATATTTGGGTATTGATATCTCTTGTTTTTACACTATACTTATTTCCCCATAATTTCACTCCTAACCCCACTGAATCCTCCCTTATGACAATAAAAAATCAAAGTTAAGTGAAATCATCCAACACAGCAACAATTCCTGAAGGCATACCACATTCCACATTTATAGTCCCTAACCTCTCTGAGAGGAGGAAGATGAGTTCTCATTACCAATTTTTAAACACCAAGATTATTTACTTATATTTTAGTAAAATATTTGACAAAATTTTTTCAAGTTATTCTTTTAGATAAGGAGAGAGAAGAGCTAGATTTATCAGCTGGATTAGATTATATTCATTAGAGATTAGCTGGATTCAGAACTAATTGAATGGTCAGACCCCAAAATTAATCAGTAATGGTTCAATGTCCACTTAGAAGGCCCCAGAGATTGGTTCTTGCTCTTGTGTGGTTCAACATTTTTATTACTGATTTGGAAAAAGACAGGCTTAGATAAAGGCTTCTCAACTTCATAGATGACACAAACCTGGGAGGGATAGCTGAAACACTGGAGTACAGAATCAAGATACTGTATCAATGGGCTGAATCTAATCAGATGAAATCTAACAGGTATAAGTGTAAAGTTTTAAACTTGAGTTCAAAAAGCCAACTTCACAAATATAAGAGATAGGCAAGCCATCACTAACTATTAGGTCATCTGAAAGAGATCCAAGCATTTTCATAGACTGAAGTGCATAAATTAAGAATATGATATGCACCCAAAAATGTATCATCATCTTAGGCTGTATTAAATGAAGTAAGTATCCAGAGATAAGGAGGTGATAGTACCAAGCTACTTTTTGAAGGTCAAACCATAATGAATGTTTATAAAATGCTTATTACTAAGTGTATATGTATGGATATGTATGTGTGTGTGTGTCTATATATATATATATATATATATATATATGCCAAGTGTATAAACAAGACACAAAGTAGATGGAAAATAACCATAGAAGGGAAGACCAGCAGTTGTTGGAGAGTAGGAAGAGGGATCGGGAAAGGGCCCTTTAAGCTTAGAGCAACTGAAAAGGAATCCTGAAGGGGCTGAAGAACATGCCTTATGTGGGCTAGCTGAAAGAAATAAGGATGTCTTGCCAAAGAAAAGCTTTGATTTCTGGGGAATGAAAAGCTGGGGGTAGGTTTGGGAGTGTGAAGAGATAGTTGTCTACAAACATTTGAAATGCTGTCACCCAAAAAAGGGCTTAGATTTCTAATGCTTGAACCAAGAAGACTAAAAGAAATAGGTAGAAAGGGAAGATAATAGGCATTTATTAAGTGCCTACTATGTGCCAGGCTTTGTACTAAGCACTTTACAAATATTCTCACATTTGATTCTGACAACAACCCTGTGAGGTAAGGGGTTATTATTATCTCCATTTAACAGTTAAAGAAACTGAGGCAGACAAAGGCTGTGAATTGCTTAAGGTCTTAACCAGCTGTTACGTGAGACTAAATTTAAATTCCCACTTTCCTGATTCTAGGCCCAGCACTCTATCTACTGGGCCACCTAGCTGTTTAAAGTAGAAGCTGCAAAGATTTGTTTCACATAAATAAAAATTCCTAATACTTCGCTAGTTTGACTCAGTAAGTAATGAGTTCCCTGTAACTGGATGTTTTCAAGCAAAGGCTAGATGACTACTAGTTGGTTACATGGTAGAGAAGATTCTTGTTCAGTTATGGGTTGGAGTATAGGAGTTTTGAGGTCCCTTTCAATTCTCAGTTTCTGTGACTGTGTCACTTATATTTATTTTTTTAAAAAAAGTTCAACATCACAAGTTCAAAGGACAGATCCCTAAGCCCTCCATCTTGGGGTCTGGTCATTCAACCATTAATATATTCTAAACTATTGACTAGCCAATATTTTTCCATAATGTACATAGGGATAGCACGAGACATGTACTTCACTGAACCTATAGAAGGCATAGTTGTGAAATACAGCTACATTACTGATACACAGACACACATGTGAAACGTAACTTAAATT